AGACTAGCCTAGGCAGCATAGTCAGACCTCCATCTCTACCAAAAGAAAAAAAATAGTCTAAAATTACTAAAATCAAGAATGAAAGTCATCATTACTACCAACCTTAGAAAAATACAATTGATTATAAAGGAATGTTTTAAACAGTTGTATGGCAATGAATTTGGCAACCTAGATGAACAAATTCCTAGAAAGATGCAAACTACCAAAACTGACTGAAGAAAAAATAGACAATCTGATTAGACTTATAACATGCAAATATATTGAATTAGTAATTTAAAAAGTTATCACAGTGAAAAGCCCAGTCTTCACTGGTGAAATTCTACAAAATGTTTAAATAATTTAACTTTTCCAGAAAAAAAAAAGCCAGAAAAAGAGAAAAGACTTCCTAACTCATTATTTCAGGTCAATATTACCCTGATACCAAAACCAAATGAAGACATCACAAGAAAAAAATACTGAAAATAAATATTGTTCATGAATATACATACAAGAAATCTTAACAAAAATATTAGCAAACTGAATCCAGTAAGATATAAAAAGGATTATGTAGTCTGATGAAATGAGATTTATCCCAGGGATGCAAAGTTGGTTCAACAAAAATAGATTAATGTATTACAGCATATTTATACAATAAAGTTGTGAGGAACCACATACTTGTTTCAACAAATGAAGAAAAAGCATGAGATAAAATCCAGTTTTATAATTAGAAACATTCAGCAAACTAGAAATAAAAGTGAACTTCCTCAACTTGATAAAAAGGCATCTACAAAAAATCCACTGTTCCTATTACACTTTTCTCCAAGGTTTCTACTCTCACCACTTTTATTCAACATTGTATTATAAGTTCTAGCTAGGACAATTAGGTAAGAAAAAATAAAATTCTTTCATTTTGAAAAGGAACAAGTAAAACTATCTTTATTTGCAATCGTATATATATGTAGAAAGCCCTAAACAGATCCACCCCCCTACCAAAATGCACTATTGTAACTAATGAATGAGGTCAGTGAAGTTGCAGAATACAAAATCATATTTTATTTTTAATTTTTTTTAATTTTTTTGAGTTGGAGTCTCACTCTGTCCCCCAGACTGGAGTGTGGTGGCCGCTCCCAACCACCGCAGCCTCTACCTGCTAGGCTCCGGCGATCTTTCCGCCTCAGCCTTCCGAGTAACTGAAACTACAGGCGCGCGCTACCACACCCAGCTAATTTTTGATTTATTGTACAGATGAGGTCTTGCCAAGTTGCCCAGGCGGGTCTCAAACCTGCGGGCTCAAGCAATCCACTCACCTCAGCCTCCCAAAGGCGCGGGATTACAGGCTGAGCTACCAAGCCTGGTTCAAAATCAATATTTTAAAATATCGCTTGTGTTTCTGTATACTGTGAACAGTCTGAAAGTGAAATTAAAGGGGAAAAATTCATTTTTTTTCCCCACTGTAGCATCAAAATGAATAAAAGTAATGGAAATAAAATTGATCAAAGAAGTGTAAGACTTGTACTGAAAATTATGAAACATTGTTTAAGGAAATTAAACAATTAAATAAATGGAAAGACATCCTATGTTTATTTGTTGTAAGAATAGACATATGGGTTAATGAAATGGAATTGAGAGTCCAGAAATAAACTCAACTGATTTTTAACAAGGATGCCAAGAACAATCAGGAAAGAAATTGTGTTTTCAACTAATGATGTTGGGTACAAATGGATATTCACATACAAATGAATTAATATGAACCCCCTCCTTACACCATAAACAAAAATTAACTCAAATGGATCAAAGACCTAACATAAGCGCTAAAACTATAGACTCTTAGAAGAGAACATGGGTGTATATTTCTTTGTCCTTGAATTAGGCATCAATTTCTTGAATATGATACCAAAAGAATAAAGACCAAAGAAAAAGTAGAAACATTGGACTTCATCAAAGTGGTTAAATTGGAACCCTTAGATTACTGGTGGTATTGTAAAATGGCACAGTCACTTTGAAAAAGTGTTTTTTGGCCGGGCTCGGTGGCTCAGCCTGTAATCCCAGCACTTTGGGAGGCCGAGGTGAGTGGATTGCCTGAGCCTGCGGGTTCGAGACCCGCCTGAG